TAGGGGTGCCGACTTTCACGCAGTCCTAAATACATATATAACTTTTGACTCCCAAAAACTTGACAATCATCCCTTGATATCCATGAGGGATTGGTTCCAGGACCCCCAATGGACACCAAAATCTGCAGATGCTCAAGTCCCTAATACAAAAATGCCATAGATCAATGCTTCCAGTCGGCCCTCTGCATCTGAGGATTCCCAATGATGGATCAGAAATACTATCTCCATTTACTTGGTTGAACCCATGGATGAAGCCTGGGAATAGGGAGGGCTGACTGTATATTTATGGAAAAAAATCCATGTATAAGTGGACCCCCATAGTTCAGACCTGTGTTGTTCAAGGGGAAACTGTATATTAGAGAGTTACAGTGAATTACGTTACTACAAGAGCTGTAATTTCAAAAATAAAAGTCCATTTTAATCTATTGGCTTCCCTTCCCTTTTCTCTTACAACTTATTTTTAAAGATCAGGACATTTGTCCTGTGAAATTTTCCAGTGTGGATTTTGCTAATTGTACCCTGTGGTGATTTCACGTATTCTTCTGTATCTTAAATTTCTTATTGAACTGGCAGTCAGATCTAGAAGCTTGAGGAGAGTCAAGTTCAATTATCTGAACTTCAAAGATGGTGTTCTGTACTTCTATTGTGTCATCTTAGGAGGCACAGAATGTCTAGTTGTCTCTTTTGTAATACTGACATTGATCAGTGGGTTCAAGTATTGTCAAGCTGATCTATGCATTAAATAGCTCCCCATCAGCATTTCACTTAATCGTTTTAACAGCCATCGAGGAGGCCTAGCCTGATTATTTCATTAGCTGTTGCAAAATGTTAATGTCCTATTTCTATCATACCGTCCGTATTTTTAAGCTGGAATTACTCTATAGTGAGAAAATCTCCCTCACAACTATTCAGTTACCTTGAGGTGTAGTTCATGTAAGGCAGGATGAATACCTGATTCTGTCTCCTGTATTCAGTCCCGGCAAGGCTCATCATCCGTTCTCCACTGCTTGTACTGTCACAATAACGCAACACTTCTGCTCTAGGGAGGTGCATTCTGTGAAGCCAACTCCACACCCTACTCGTGTACGCATGCTTTTCTGAACTCTTACGTTTAGAATATACATCACAAAATGTGATGTCTTACCTTGTGAAGAAATTTACTGATTGTGCATAGCCAGATGTTATATTTTCTGATGCTCTGAGACTAAACTATAATTCTTTTAAATGCTAATACAATTATAACAAAAATGGATGGGAAAATAGCTTTTTTAAAAAACACAACCATAATACCACTAATGGTTCTGGGAGCAAGGACTCTAGAGTAGGTGACTGAGTGGAACTCAGATTTGGAAACAACCAGGTGGCCCATGGATAGGACTCACTACATGTTTATTATTGTAGACAAATGTATTCTCATTAGAATGAATACACGTTGCATTAAGGGCAGAGATTTGTTCATTTTATAGTCTACTGTGTGTCCCCAGTGCCTTGTATATAGCAGGTACTCAATATACTTGTTAAATAAGTAAAATGAACGGATGTATCTACAACGTATTTATTCTGTATGAGTTTCATTCACTAAACAAGAAATTAAAGGTCAATTGGGTTCTTCTCACTGATAATTACCTAAAGTCTTATTAAATAGTATGACAATGTTTTTGAAAAACAGGAAAATTCCATTTACTTATGTGTTTGCTTTTAGAGTTTAGTCAGCTCTGTATGCCATCTATTTGGATAACAAAGTCAGTGTTACTACTACTATATATGTACCTATATAATGCTTTTCTGTTTAATGAGGGCTTTTAAATATACAGTGTGCTGAATATTGAAATAGCAACCTCTACATCTTAACTTTTTTGTTAGTTTTGTTGAAAGTGGTTTGGAACACCCATAATTGTAATGTTAATCAGAGAGCAGCTAAAAAATCTCTAACAGAAAACAGCATTACAACTACCTGAGTGATCTAAATTGCCCAAGTCCGTGGACACTTTTTAGTCCCTAATTTTTACTTTTCAGTGACATTTGACACAATGGCCTGAGAAACCTTGAGCCCCATGATAAAACACTATTATAATAGAACAGACTTTGAAACCTAACTAAAAGCAAATGATACATTTTTAGAAAGTGTTTGAGGTTGAGTAAGGAGATCTAGGAACTTTTCCTTTAAAATCAATACAAGACTCGTATCTTGGGTTTGTCCATATTTGATATAATTAAAAGACCAAATCTATACTATTGGGTGTCAATGATGCAGTTTCAAAGGATCCTATTCACAAATTCAGTAGCCAGAAGTCTGTAGGTGCAAATCCATATATCTGAACAAAACATTAAAACATTGCTTTTACAGAAAGGTGACTAGAAAATGAAAATTTAACCAAAAAAAAAAAAAAGTAACTCTCAACTTAAGAAAACACACTATGCTCCATGTGGAACTAGTAGTATACCTGTTAAACAAATTCAGATAACACCCCAGTATCTTAGTAGCAAATACAGGATTAAAGTGTATTTTTAAAATGACACCCAGAGTATCACTCAGTATCAACTACAATTGCGCTGCTCATCTCCAAGGTCTCAATTCCACATTTAGACTACTGGAGGCTACAATCACGGGACCTCTCAAAGCCACATGATCTATTCTAAGGGCTCCATATTTCTTTTCCCTCAGCTTTCACCCACATTTTTCTGCCAGGTCTCAAAGATGAAGTAAGTCACTAATGTTTTTTTCACCCTCCCACATTTTGATACTTTAGCACTTCATGTTACTTCTAGTTGCATTTTCCTTTGGGGTAGTGACCTTGCCATACAATTATTGTTTTTCTCATGATGCCTAACAGTGAATCTAACAAAAAAACTTAGTGACCAAACAGCATTAGACAATCAATCATTCAAGTGATTTTAATATTTTTGCCACAATTATCTACATATCAGTGGCACCGATGGCTCTATAAATTTTATGACAATGAACATAATTCTCCTCTTGGGTATTACCGATCTGGCCTAACTCACTTTTGAAGACAATTGTCCTATTTTCCTTTTGTTGCAGAAATTATGGGAATGTTCAGTGGGGTTAAGTAAAGTAATGGTACCTCCCCGGTTTATTATTGAGGGCATGGGATGCAATAAATAGGGGGAGAGAATGTGTAGTTATGAACTCATAGCTTTCTTAGCACCTTGTTTCTATGTAATCTCTGCTGTTAGGTTCCTCTAGCAATCATTCTTTTGGGGCTACTGTACAAGACACAGTACGTGCTCGGTTCACCCTTACCTGTCAGTCTTGCCTACCTGCCAAAAGATAACTTCATTTTTAAATAGTTTATGAAGTTTTATATATGAGATTAACAATCAGGAACTCACTTTGGGGAATGAAGCAAAACTGGGTTCCCTAAGAATCTTCTCCAGGTGTCCCACATACAATATCTATATTTCCAATAACCGAGGATAACATTTATTAAAATGTCATTACCATAACCCAGCTTTTCTTTGGTCGGGTACTTATATAGGGGAGGCACCCCAAAAACTGCCTTATTCTTTCCCATTAGTGGCTTTTTGCTAACTCAAATTATTTAAAATAGATCCTTAACAAAAAAGTTAATTATGCCAAATGTCAAAAACACCAAGATTGTAAAGTTGTACTTTTGATTAAAAAGGTTCAGTAGGCAATTTTCACCAGTGTGTAGAGAAATGTAAAAGGGAAAGGCTGATATGTTTTTTAAATTGGAGAGTAAAGCAGAAATAGAACTAGGGTATAAAAACAAGCTGGCTGGGGGGGCAGTATTTTCTCTTGTAACTCAGCAAACAAGAGTAACATGGAAGTACCTTTACATCCAACAACTCAAAATTGTTCCTATGTGGGCATTAGAGTTTTGGATGTAATTTAACAACCAAGGATATACTATACAGAAACTTTATCGGTATAGTACAACTTCCTATCTGCTGATCCACTAAAGTTCAATAAGTTACTGGCAGAATTTGTAATACTTTGAGGTACAGGTTAAACAATGTAGTGGGAAAGATGACCTCTGTGAGATGAGGATTAGCTTGGTTGGCTGAATGAAGTGTTTTGGAAAATGCAAGTTTTCACAGTACAATTAAAATTTTATAATTAGTTTCTCTGTATATCATAATTTGAAATAGCACTGAGATTTTCAACATTTAAAAAAACTGGCATTTAACAAAGTCCTGAGTTTACTTTACTGTTTGGTATCAAGAAAAGCAAACTCAAAGAGCCAACTTAAGTATTTTCTACATTTTAAGATTCGACATAAGGTTCTTTACTATCCTTTCCACAATGAAGCAGCTCCATCCAGATGAGATCAGATTGAGTAAGGTTATCACTCAAAACTAAACCAAACCAAATCAAGACACACTTATTAGATCTTTTAAATTACAAAAGCATCAGACTCCTACTGAACGGGACAAAAACAATTCAGTTGGTTTTTAATTTTTTTCTCCTTTTATGTGCCTTCCTCTTAGTAAAGAATTGCCTAATTTTTTTCAATTAAGCATCAAAAATTAAACCACAGGCAATTGTTCGTGATTACATTACATTACATTCAAAGCTAATTATTTTGCACAAATCAAAATGAGGTCAGTTTAAGAAAAGTACTAAAATGTACAACCGATGTATCTAAGTGAAATTAAAATTTAAAAGATACAATTAGCTTCTATTCCACCCACACAGACTTCGGGGTATTTAAAATACCAAGTAATTTCATTAGCTATCCAAATTAGATTTTCTTTATAAAAGTTGTGTTTTCCTATTTAGACTAGTGGTATCATGAGTCAAAATGGGTGTCATTGGATTTTAAACCCAAAGTATCCAGAAACCATACTTTTAACTCCTACTTGGATCCTTACTAATCCCATACTAAAATGCAAAGCAAAAATAAAATATATAAATAAAAAATTACCATGAGATTCAAAGGCAAAACAAAAAAACCAACCACGCCATCAGACTTGGAGCCCCCAAAGTTAAACTAAAAAGAAAAAAAAACACTCCACACTGTAGAAAGAATTTATTTGCCTCATTAAAAAAAAAATCTCAATAGTGCATTTAACTATAAATTCAATCTTCTCATTCAAGGAGTTGCAAACAAAGTTTAAATAGAAACGTTTAATTGCTTTAGGTTTACATTTTTAAAACTCGTCAATTTACCGAGGGGACATTTCAAAAGGCCAGTTTTAAAACGTTTTTGAAGGCATAAACTTTATAATTAATGGGTCTACTATTCTGCCCCCAAAGACAGTTCTGCACGACAGGATAGTTCACTCTACTCCGATCTGCAGCTAAAGCACCAAGTAAAACAGGTACAAACTAAATCCTGCATCACCTGAAAAAAGTGTTAAAATTATTTAGCGTGGAGAAGAGAAGTTGTCATTATCTTACACAATTTCACGCCTTCCTTCAAGAGTAAAAAGCGAACTCAAAGGCTTAGCTCTTTCCCCCCGCTTTAAAAATGTCCCAGTCCACCCCTCTCCCCGCAATTCCTTCTTCCCTCAAGGAATATGTAAAACTAACGGTTTCCGCGGTGGCCACGCCGGCCGGGGCTCCGCAGGCTGTCCCCGCGCCCCCGAGCTCCGGAAAACAAAGGGGATTCCCAGCCATTGTCCTCCGCTGAGCATCACCAGCACTAGCAAGGCAGTAGCTTGCGCAGTTATCTCCACAGCGGGCAATGTCACAACCCGACCAACAGCACAAACTACTACCTCAGCCAGGGCCATGGTGTCGGGGAGGCACCGGACCACGCTGAGGGCGAGTGAGGCGGCTCCGACGCGCCTCCGTCCTTCCTCCGCCGCCGAAATCCGCCTGGCGCCTCTGCCCTTCCCGGCCGCCCCGCGCCCGCCCGGAGACCCCGCCCAGCGCCGCGCCGCTCAGCCGCACCGGGCGCGCCCCGAGAGCCCGGGGGATCATAGGCGGCGCCGGCGCCCCGGGCAGGCCGGGCCGGGCGTTCTCTACGTAACCGACCGCGCTGGAAAGAGAAAAGGTGCGGAGAGGTCTTGGCGGAGGCTGACGCTCCTTCCCCTGCCCCGAGGAGAGCTCGTCCCGTGCCCCTCAAAAGCAGGAAATGGGGGGCAAACGCGCAGCAGACGCCAGCTGGATCCGCACAGTCCCCGAAAGGCAGCGTGCAGCGCTCCCGCGCTTCGGCCGCCAGGAGCTCCGGGCCGTCCCCGCCGAGCTCCCGCCACGTATCTGGGGTGCGCCGCCCGCGCCCCTCCCCGCCCCGAGCCCGCGGAGGGGGCTGGGCGGCGGCCGGGCCGCCACGGCGCCGCGTTCCCGACATCCGCCGCCGGGTGGGCTCTTCGCACGGGGGAACGCCCGGGGCGCTTCCCGAAGAGGAGGACACCGGCTCCGGCGCCGCGATAAGAAACGAAGGCACGGCCCGGAAGTCCCCAGCCACACATTCCCCAGGACCCTTCAGGGTAATCCGGTCCACCTTCGCAGGAGGCGAGAATAAAACAAAAACCCCGAAAAACTGAAACCGGGCCGTGCGGCGGGATGCGTGGCGGCGGCGGCTCAGCGCGCGGACACGAGCCGTCTCGCGCTCCGCCGCTCCTGTGCGCCGGGACGAACCATAGAGATCACTTAAGGAGGCTCGCGCGCTACTCCCCAGCACGTGACCGCCCCGCCAGGCTGCCCCCGCCCGCGCCGCCATCTTACATCCGGGACAGAGGCGGTGTCCGCTTTCCCCGCCTTGGCAAGCTTCGACGTGTCACTATGAAATCAACCCCAAAAGGGGGGGACCCCGACTCCACGTCACCAAAGCGCTGAGGCCCCGGCCCATGTCCCCCAATCCGCTTAACGGGGCAAAGTGGAGTCCCTAACCTCTCCCGGTGTCTGCCCGCAAAGAAAATGGCGGCACTTACCGCCGTCTAAGTGGACACGTTGTACTCTGTCTGGGGTGTAAAGTTTCCGGCACCTCCTTTCCTATCCGGCAAGGACACAGCCACTCGCGCTCCACCCCGCGGCGTGGCCACCGTGCTACATTCCGCAGAAAACCGGCGGGAAAGCTGCGGCACAGCTCCTTTTAATGCGCAGGCTCCCGGGACCGGTGGGTTGTCTGTTTTTTTTCTTAAAGGCCAAGTTTGGGGGAAGCCTGACTGCCCTTAGCCTCAACTGCTGCCGGCCCAGAAATGTTAGTTTTTCTCCCATTTAGGGGTTTTTGTAGTAAGTTAAATCATTTTAAAGAAAAAATAAGCAGGGGTTGTCTGATAAAATACAGAACGTCCAGTTAACTTCGAATTTCATCTAAACGAATAATTTTTTAGTATCTGTCCTCTGATTAACAAAGTTCGTTATCTGAACTTCAAATTTAATTGGCCGTCCTATATTTTTATCTGCTGAATCTGGCTATCCTATTAGTCGTCACGGTTCCGAAAACCCACGCTACACATTAACAAAAGGAAGGAATGGAGGAGGAATTGGAGAGTGTGTTCAGATTTGGGACTCACTGTACACAGTGACTTCGATCCTTTCTTGGACGCCAGAGGGCTAAAGTCCAAACTCCAGAATCTGGCAACAGCGTATAAGGGGCATCCATGTGTTAATTCCTTTTTGAAAAAGTAAGATTCTTTTCCCCTTAAACCAGTACAATATAATTTTTAGTAACAGATTCTCTCAGCCAAGAAACTCTTTGCAAATTAAAGATTACATAACACTGTCGTTTCGTTTCTATTATATATGGTATTGGTGATCGGGCACAATTTCTTGAAGAACAAGTTTTCAAATTACAAAGCATCCTGCCTGACATGTTTCAAAATAAATAGATGCAAATTTAGAAAAAATACATGCCCACTGACAAATCTGTTATGCTTACTCGCATTTTAAAGCAACTGCTGAAGGTAGATTGCCTAGGGTGTACAATCTGAACTATTTCCAATTAATAATATGTATTTATTTCTGTGTCTATGTAGAACACACTTGAATTAAATGCTTTATTTGATAAAGTATAAATTTGACTATGCATCACAATGATGCTTACCAGAAAGTCTACAGAAACCAGTAGTTTCATTATGATTCACACCACCCTGTCCTAATTAGCAATGATTGGGTTGCCAGGGCATCATCCCCCCTCACTGCTTGTTCACTGCACAGTGGACCATAGGAAATGTCATTTGTCAGAATGGGACAGATTTTCAAATGGTCATTAAACAGTTGTTTACAGTATACAGATACATTAATCATCAATGAAATTTTGTACTAAATTTAGTCATTATGCTACTTTAATTGTATTAGATTCATTTCCACTATTAACTTTAACAGTGCCAACACCAATGCACTCATCATCCACAGTGTGCTGTTATCAACTCTTTATTTTCCTCCACCCCTAATATCCAGAATCTAAGCATCCTTTCCAAATGTGACCACCCTCAGCTAATCAATCCTTCAGCATGACCTCACAGCTGGAAAATTGCAACAGCTTCCTATCTTAGCTTTCCCTACTTAGATTCCTTCCACTCTACCTTGCTTATAACTGCAAATTTATCTTCCTTAGTTTCATAATTTACTTCTAAAAATGATCACTCCAAACTCCTGCCATCTCAAATCTAAACTACTCCGTTTGGCTTTCAAGGAATTTCATGAATGGGCCTCAGTACCTCACCGACAACTCTGTTTCACATAACATACCAAAATATACTATCAGTTTCCTCATATTTCAGATATGCCTTGTTCACATTATTTGTCTTTATCTGAAATATCCTGCAGTATCCTTTGGAATCATCTAAAATCTATCTAGCCATCAGGGCCCATTTTAAGTTCCATCTCCACCACTGGGCTTTTTCATTGATTTTCCTTCTTGATACTAAAGGTAATAATAACTTGAAGCACAGAGGACAAGGCTAAAGTTCTGTTTTATGATCCCATATTAATCTGTACTTGTCTTCCACAGTATTTTTGTCATTTGTTTAAGGTCTACATCCCCTGCAAAACTATAAACTCCGTGAGGACATAGACCAACCCAATATCTAACACATATTAGGAGCTAAAATGTTAATGACACCTGAGTACTTAATTATAAACAGTCTTGTATTTATTATTATTTTATGTATGTAGTTTCCTCAACTAGCTCCTAATGACTTCCGTTGCATACAGCAGGGACACAGTTATGAGTAAATAGTAGATTCTTAATATGCAGTGCTTGTCTAGTGAAAGGCAAAAAATTGGTCCCTTTATGAGAAAGTATGGGTTTCTGCCCATCTCTTGAATGATATGTACCAAAAGTGTACTTTATATAACACCCATCAGGCAGTCACCATGTGCCAAGGAAATTGCTTTATAACACTCCTTTTTAAATCCTAATAAAGAATTCTATGAGTTAAACACTACTATTAATTCAACTTTATATGAGGAAACCAAAACAGGTTAACTAACTTGCCCAAGGTCACACATCTAGTAAATTACAGAACTGGGATTTGAACTTAGGAAGTCTGGCCCGAGACTGGGCACTTAACCACTATGCTATTATGGCCTATGATATAACCTCTTCTAACAAACCACAAATTAGTAAGCTATTTTAAACTGTCCTGGACCAATTATAAAAACCTAATGCAGCTCTGGAGGTCAAAGTCATTAGACAAATCTTTTCTTCACAGTATTTGAAGCTCTTTGTTATGTTCAAGTGTCTTTGTCCCAATGCCTATTCATAGAAATAGTAATTGTGTAAAAAGTATTTTTACTTTATTTTAGAAAAGCTTGAATTTTAATGGAGTGAGAATCTTTTTGTAAAACATGATACTAACACGTTGTAGTAGAGAGAACTGCTCTTGAAGCAGACATGCTAATTCACAGACTTCAGCTGTGTGACTCTAGGTAAGTCACTTCAACCTCTAAACCCTGACTCCTTCCCTGCAGGATTGCTGTGAAGATTATTATTCCTTATAGGGATAATATAGGTAAAGCCTGACTGACATACTAGGTACTCCAGAAATGATTAAAATTAGAAATTAGGAAATTTATTATAACTCCACCTGACTGCTATAAATATATAGGAATTTTTCAGTATTGTACATAACACAATTCAGGCTCTCAAGAAATTTTAAAACAATTTTTCTTGAGAGATAGAGGGAAGGTCTAGCATTGCTATAGACAGTCTCAAAATTAGCCTCATTAAATTAAAAATACATAGGAATGCTTCTAAAACAAAAGAAATGATTAAAAATCTAATCTACATGAGAATTGTTTTTTTACTTGACCTAGAATTTTTACCCAAAGTTCTAGATCTGCTTTCTTTCCAGGCTGCTGAGAGGTATTTCATAATGTCCTTCTGACTGGGTAGTCTTTTATTTTTTCATTTTATATATCAATAGTTTCAACAAAGCTCTCAAAAACATACCTTTATTATTCTATTTTATAAAAGTTTCCCCACATTGACTGCTTATGCCATCCTAAACATACCTGAATCATTACTTATGAAGTCTTTAAACAGTCAGTGATGTGAGGTGTCACTAATGTGTTGAACCTAGGGGGGATGAGAAAGCAAACACCAAGTATATTAAAGAAAAAGTGAATCATTCATCAGATCTGAAAGTAAATTCTCAAAGTGGTTATGATTTTAAGTTATACTGTGAAAAACCAGCACTGCTGGAACATAATTAAAAACCTAGCGTCATGCTGAGTGGTAACTGTAAAGCAAATTAAGATCTAACAATCACAGCTATAACTATGCAGTGTGTGTGAAAAATCTATCCTAGGCCACAAAGAAAATCTGGGTTTGAGGCTAAGAGAATTTCATGATTATAATACACGTAACTGATACATCTCAACAACATAAAAATTGTAAGGAGAAAGTCTAACAGCAGCAGTATTACTTTCAAAAACTGTGTTGGGAGCTAAAAAAGAAACTCACAAAATTAGATAAATATATCCAGTCTGACATAAACACCATATGGTAACTGCCTTAAGAGACAGGAGTTGTATGTTATGTGTTAAAATTATGACACAGAGGTAGTAAAAGCTGGAAAGCAAAATGCAATTTGCACAGTAGGGTCAGAAGCCTAATATTTTATTTTATTTTCCTAGATAAAAAGAATAAGACTGCAATATTATAGCTTTAAAATTTTTCTCTTATCTAGCAAACTTCAGAGAAAGAAGCAGTTGTTATTATATTGCAATAGTTTCCCAAATAATGGCATGGTTTAGGAGATCTTTCCTGCTTGCACTATTTATTGAATGTTAGTTTAAAATATAACTTAATGTAACTAAATTTGCAGCAACTGAAAATGGTATCAAAATTCAAGAGTACAATAATTTTCTTTTTCTTATCTGAGGGGCCAGAATCCATCACATTGTGTAATTAGGAATGTTTCAACTGACCAAATACACCAGAGAAAGACCTGGAGATGACTACTATAACATTCTAGGTCTTCGGTCAAAAGAATACTTGCTTTGCAATAGAAAAACAGAAATAGCTAAAATACATGGCAATATACTGCTTTAAGCCCTCCTTGAAAGTAAGCAGAGCAAAAATTATAAATCAATAAATAATATTTAGATAACATAAATCTAAAATACTTCAAAGCATCTGCCTTTCCAAAAACAAAAAGGCCCCCCAAAAGATAAAATGAAAAAGTAATGTAAACAGATTTTTAAGACTCCCTTTTGAGAAAAGTGGTATAATCTCTCTATCCACATGACAGAAAAGACATGATGATTCCAAGTTTAGCTGCTAGATTCATCATATTTATAGCAATCCCATTTTGTGAGCATCCTGGCTGCTAATCCTGTGGATTCAGAAAGATAGTAGGAGCTTCAACTTGTTCAGCTATTTTGAAATGGAAGGGGAGGGGGGCTTCACCTTTGCAAAAAGCACAGAGGCCAAAATAGCAGGTATATCCAGAGTCTCGTTTAAAGAGAAGACAGTTGGCAGTGGTTCTGCCACTAACATCTCTGCTTCTTTTGAAGAAAGTATAGGTGAAATTAGAGGAAGAGTTGGAAGAGCATGAGAGAAGAATGAAAAGAAAGAAAGAGAAAACTGGGGGAAAGTATAAAAAAAGATAAGATAAATGTACAATTTTGAAAAAAGAAACCGATGCAGAAGAAAAATGGAGAAAAATATATAGTCAAAGACCTCAATTAGGGTATATTATTAAATTTATCAAACAACTTGAATAGTTACTTTAAGAATGTCATGAAATCAACTCTGAATTCAAACTATGTATTTTTTTCTTTAAAGAATTAGTGAGAACTCATTGATCATTTCCATTTTAGAGATTAGAAAACAAAGGCTTTGAAAAGTTAACGTGCAGGCCTGCCGAGTGGCGCGATGGTTAAGAACTCGCTTGGGATGCCAGAGGGCCCCGGTTCGGATCCCACATATGAGGGCCAGTGACACTGCCCTCCACAGCTAAGATGCTGAGCAACAGCTCAACCTGGAGCTGGGCTGCCATGAGTGGCCGGTGAGCGTAGGCTGCAGCCCCTGTGGCAGTGGGTTGCCCTGGGCTACTGTGTGTAGCCAGCAGCCAGCGTGAGCGGCCAGCAGCCGCAGTGAGCGGCCGTCCAGAAGCCGGCGACTGATCTGCCTCAGCCAGAGAAGAGCGCAATGATGGTGCCAACTTGGGCCAGTGAAGCAACATCCTCCACAACTAGATTGAAGAACAAGACGACAGCAACTTGTCTGTTCCCCTTCCCCCAATTCCCCAGCACTGTTCCCATTCCCCCAATTCCCCCAATAAAAATCTTTAAAAAAAAAAAAAAAGTTAACGTGACTTAAGTTAAATTAAGAGGAAGAGCCTCTACTCTTTGCTGCCTCACAACTAATCAAGATTATTTATATTTACAGTAGTACTCACTGCAGGCTCCTTTAAACAGAGCCAACACTGCCAGTGCATTCAAAATTACTAGATTTATAGGAAATTGACATTTAACTCTTCTGAAATAGTTTTTATATAAATCAAGAAACAAAGACATAATAATTTTCTTTCCCACGCTATAGAAATTTCATTCAAGTTGAAAGCACTACTCTACTTGCCAGAGATACAAAAAATTTAATTCAAGTCATTTTTGAAGTATTAAAAACTTTTCCCCTAATATATAAATACTGGTAATATACTATGTGGTATGAACTCCCATTCATTCAATGAATGGTAATTACAAAAAATAAATAAAACAAAATTCACTCTAATACAGATAAATACAACCCAACAACACTAAGCGCAGTAAAAGGTGACACTTTATACAAAATTGGCATATCTTACAAAATGGCAAACCTATTGAATAGAAATCTAAAGAACATACTAGGCTTCTGGGAATGATTTCATGAGACTATTTTGTTTCTCTAACACATTTTGTTTCTATAAAACAAACAAACAAAAAAAACGGTAATTCACAATATCCTTGGCCTGGGCATTGCTTTATTCCAAGGGCTTCTAAGTCTCCACCATTCCTTTCCACAGCAGTCACAGGTAGGTGAGCTGCTGAGAGTATTGTGCCCTCGCTACACAGACTTCACCCACAGCAGTCAGTCTCTTGAGGATTTGGTTGCCCATCTGAATTATTCTACATTTGAGAAGACTATCTTAGTCATTATATAATAATTACACTCTTTCATTAATATGAGTTTAATAATGACAACCTAATAGTTTTGAGTTGTTTTCTAATGCTATTCAATAATTTGTGCCCTTTCATCCTCAGTTTCTTAATTGATCCTTTGCCCAGATGGTTACCTGGGACGAGTGGTACCAAACCGTGACAATGAATGCAATACTCTAAGGTTATATTGAGAAAGGACAAATAATCTAGTTGTTACGAGCCTACTACGGAATTAACGTAAGTGAATGCTATTCTTCAGAATAAAATATATATGCGTAATTGTTCATCTCTTCCTTCTGGTGCCACATATAATTTAAGGAATACAGCAACAGTTGAACCAACAATCATATAAGGGAAGAACAGGTAAGAAACAACAGAGCTGTTAAAATTAAAAATAAAAGCAAGTGAAAAGTGGTTCTCGCTAATGCAGACTTTTATGCATTTTCCTTTTCTTTTGGGACTTAACAGGCTCCTAATAGATAAATGTTTCTCATATATATATTAAAACTAACAAAACTTTAACACTAAAGAAATACTAAATAAGACACTAAAAAATGACTAATTCTTTTCCTTTTTGGCAGTGGTGGCATTATAGAAAACTAAAAAGTTAGCTATTCAAGTTGAAAATCAGTTTGTTTCCTTTATAATGGGAAAAAGTCAGAAAAGTTTAATCCAATTGTTGGTATATGTCTGTTGTCCAGCCATCTACAATATATAAGCTAGGCACTGTCAGTGACGAAAAGTGGTTATCTGAGGCTTAAAACTAATTATAATGTGTATCCCAAAGGACATTATTACTACTCTTTCAAGGACTAGTCATGGTCTTAATTGTCCTGTAAAACGGTCTTAGCCTTGCGAGCTTCCTTCTTGAATCTTCTAGCATGTAGCGATCTCATCCAGCCCAGCTCTTCTAGTCACCAAAGAACCCAATTCACACCAACAAGACAGGGCAATGTATTGGGTTGTCGGAAAACTCTTGACGTATTTTTTTCTATGTTTATTGTTCCAAAAATGCATCATGACTTTTCTGACAACCCAACATTAGCCTCTCCAAGGGATCAGGATATTTTAGAAAATGCAGACTAGAAGAATGTTTGATTCAAGAAAATGAATTGCTAGTAGTCACTCTTGGGGTTGGCATGAGATGTTCTGGGAGGAAAAAAGTCAGATTATACATACCACCAAGGGGGTGGCCCACTTTGCTTGTCACTAAGACTGGCACTGATTACCATATTCTATGAAATTTACAGATTTACCACATTTATGTTTTGATCTGTAGGGTGTATGGTCCTGGTTTTGAAAGCCAATACAGTATTGGCTAAAACCACTCAGTTTATATAAATATGTACTATATACCCTTGGCTCCTATTTAACTTTCACTGTAGAATTATTTCAATTGCAATTGATCTGTTATTTCTCAAGAACAGACATTTTTACTTCATGTAAATTCATGGCAATATTTTTAACATATTACTGAACTGGTATACTACCCTTGTTTTTCTATTTCAATAATTTATTAGTGATGTGCAGATTTTTGTAATCCCCAATTTAACATATCCAAATATAAAAAATAAACTAAATACGCAGGTTGAGTGATTTTTTTTTTTTACAACTTTAAGAAAAATACTGAAGATAAAATCTAGGAAATGCCATATTTTACCTTAGCTTTAGGTGAAATTATAAAATAGAAATTCATTATTTCATGTAAATATCCCCTCAAGAGATCTTACCACATGTTTACAGATAATTGTGCAAATTATATAATTACACAGTTACGATGGCCTCAAAATTTTATCTCATTCATTTCTCAATTTTAATGTCTTCTCATAATTTTATAATTATTCTTGAGGTTGAAATTTATAAATTCTATGAAAATCAAAGGCCTTCCAGCACACTAAAAAAATACAAGACCATTATGATTTTTTTATGAATAGTCATTGTTTTAAACATCCTTGAGTCTTCACATAAATGATTATGAAAACTTAACTCAGAAGAAAAATATAATAGCATAATCCATAAAATAAAAAATACAATAAGCTAGGGCAGTTAGTTTTTTAAGGAACAGTGAAGTTAATGTAATCAGAAGCACTTTTCTTCTTCACTAGGATAGGAAAATGAAACAAAATTCATATTTTACTCCATGACAGAAAGTTTACTGTACTTCTAAATGCTTCACTAGCTCCAAAAATACACTTCTTGTTATTTTACAATACACACATGTTCTATTTGTGGGTTAGCATAGTTATTTTTCTTCTTGAGAAGACATTACAAAATGAAGCACTGAAACGAACAAAACCTTACAAGTAAAATTTTTAGGAAATCTGAAATCATCTTGGCTGGGTCATAATTGAAAGAGAGTGATAAATGTTAGTCAGTGGGGAAAAAAATCAGTAGAAATATAAAATATGAAAGTCTTTAAAATCCAGACAGCAATATAAAAAGCAGACTTACGTGAAAGCTGGGAAAGATATTTAAAGAGATGAGGTATGATGGAATCAAAGTGCTACAGTATATCTCAATGTATTAAGTTAATAACCTATACTTCAAAGTTGCAAAATCAGCAAATCATAAACTATTTGCTGCTGTGTTCACATGACCTTTCTGGTCAGATGTTTGATAGTCACTAGTAACTACATTTAAAATAAGCATTAAGCTAACTGCATGGTCATGTGGTGAGCATATCTGCCGCTTAAGAAAGCAAATTTTAAGTAAAAATGTAAGCAAATCATTTTGTATTAATAATAAATACAGCATCAAGCATTTAACATTATCAGTATTTTAAAAATTTAAATAATAAATGCAACTATTTTATACAGAACTGTACCATTTATTATACACACAAGTATATCAGTTCCCTTTGTTTACAAAGGCTGGTTATAGATAACATGGAATGTTACAGTACCATCTTGCATAAAATTTTGGTACACTTTTGTACTTGAAAAAGGTCACAAAAACACCAGCCTAATAAATCTGAATGAAATATCTTTTCTTTCTTTTTAAAAAGTACATCATTAACACATACACCACAAACTGTACATAAGTTCACTTTTAAATCACCAATTGAAGATCTGGTAGCAGGTATGTTGTGGTATTAATCATGTCTCCCATCAGTTTAACTTATTCAAAGCTTGCACTGCTACTCCTTCAGGAGACTTTGTGGACGTGTAAGCTTGTAATATGATTTACTGAACTCAGGTAAGTACAACTTAAAGGAGGCCGACAACAGCTGCCAAGAATTATTTGTAGTAAGAAATGTCCTTGTCACAGAAGACTCACTGGGAAGCAAACGTTCTTTAGATAGAATTCTTCTTTAAGTTTGTTGTAGCTGGTCAAGAGTCTCCATTTTGAACTTTGGATGCTGGTGGATGCATGAAATCCTTAAAAGGAGCTAGTGCTTCTTTTAGTGCAGAGCAGACTTCTGAAGATGAGCAGGTGATGCATTCCACTAAAGTTGGGTATAAGGCAATTACTTGTGCCCAGGTATTTCCATCAACTGTAATGCAAAAAAGTATAAAACGTCAAAAAAGGATGGATTTATATAGCAGAAATTAGCATAAACACAATCCTTTAAATACAATGCAAAGAAAAAAATTCCAAAATATGAAGATTCCACAAGCATGTACTTTTGTTTTTTAATCTTTGAAAGATTTCCTGCAGTATTTCGTAATGTATGAGAGAAAAATATATGGTCAGTGTGCAGAGTAATCAATACCAACAAATTTTATAAAGTACATTTTAAATCAATTTGTGATGGACTTGGAAGCTAACTCAAGTAACGTAGAATAATTCAAACCTTTCAAACATGTAACATTTCAAATGTTTAACATTTTTTTTAAAAGATTTTTATTGGGGAATTGGGGGGATGGGAACAGTGCTGGGGAATTGGGGGAAGGGGAACAGACAAGTTGCTGTTGTTTTGTTCTTCAGTCTAGTTGTGGAGGACGTTGCTTCACTGGCCCAAGTTGGCATCATCATTGCGCTCTTCCTGGGCGAGGCAGACCAGTCACAGGCTTCTGGACGGTCGCTCACGCTGGCTGCTGGCTACACACAGCAGCCCACGGCAACCCACTGCAGCAGGGGCTGCAGCCTACGCCATCGCCGGTGACTCACAGCAGCCCAGCTCCAGGTTGAGCTGTTGTTCAGCATCTTAGCTGTAGAGGGCAGTGTCACTGGCCCACATATGTGGGATCCGAACCAGGGCCCTCTGGCGTCCCAAGCCAGTTCCTATCCATCGTGCCACTTGGCCGGCCCTCAAATGTTTAACATTTTTAAACATTTAATAATTCAAATATTTTCAGTATACTTGCCAGAGAATGCAGTGTACATTTCAAGAACAATTAGAAAGCAATTCAATGTTTTATTCAGTTGTATGCTAAAAATATAAATAATTTAAATGATTTTCCCAGTAATGTCCTTGATATTGATTTTAATTTCAAATAACCACACATAGACCCACTCTTCTCTTGTACTATTAGATAATCTTTAATGTATATCACTAGATTTAAGCTGTAGTGGGGAGGGGCATGTCTACCTTCATTACCACCATCATACTAGTATAACTGAATACTATTTAGTGAATGGGCAAAAGTGTTATATCTCAATCAGTTTGTAATTTCCTTCTAGTCTGAGATCACAGATTGCATTTCTATTTTCCTGTAAGCACTGTGCATACTGTGGAGAGTGTAATAAGCAATATAACCTGCTAACAGATTTTTCTTACACAGTCTATGTATATGACACTTCGTGGAACAACTCTCAAATCTGGGAGGCAGTATTGCATGTATACACTATGCTAAAGGAGCTCTGATTCTATTTTTTACTACAATTTACTGAGTGCCAAAAAACCTTTCTGAAATAAGGTAGTGTTGGGTGTCCCTGATCAAGTCATTTATTTTCTTTTTATCTCAACTCCTGCTGTAGAATAAAAGAATGAGTTTCTCAAACTAGTGTTCTTAAAAAAAACTCATAGTCAAGTAAGTTTGGCAAATGTTATATATATATTATCTTCCCTTTGGGGATTCATAATTTACATGAGTTTATTAAAGGCTTGTAGTAAAAGAATAGGTTTAACTTTATCTAATCCAGGGTTTCCAACAATTATTCATGGAATTTTTTTCCATTCAATATCTACTGACATCACTCATCATCAATATTCATTCCTTAGTACATATCCTGGGAAATGCTGAAGTATTCATTTAATCCCTTCTACACCCAAACAGGGACTTCTTGAGTGAGGGTGGGAAGAAGAAAAGAGGAATATGGGTAGTGATGAGGGAGGGACTATCAGGCCAGAGCTGTTCTGCTTTTATCTGTTTCATATGTTGGGAATCCGTATCAGATTTTATTTGTAAAAAGAATTTTGCTGCTTAACAAAAAACAAACAAAGGTTTAAAAACCACTGGTCTGAGAAGTTTTAAACAGTCTGCTCCAGCTTTCTTCTATGAAACTTTCTACTAATAATTAACAAAAGATTGTAAAGAGAGGATTCTGGGAAAATGACGGAGTAGGAAATACCAGGAATCTGTCTACCCACCAAGAAAACAACTGCACTGGCAGCATCTGTTTGATGCCACTATTATGGATGGAACTCAGGAGTGTACCTAAGGCTTGCAACTTCAAGGGGAAGACTTGGACAATATATTGTAGTTAATTTTGGTCAATTTCACCTCTTAGCACAGTAGCAGCTACCCATCCCTGACCCCTAAGCCATGTGCTAGGCAGCTGTGTATGTGTTCCTGGAGCAGCTTGCACACAGCTTGTGGGAGGTCAGGGTGCATTATCAGGGATCTGTTTGTGATCGCTGTTTCTGATCACAAAGGTGCAAAGAGGTTTCAACAACAAAAAAATCAAATAACTTGATTCAAAAATGGGCAAAGGATTTGACAGACATTTCTCCAAAGGAGATATATAAATGGCCAATAAAGCATGTTCAACATCACTAATCATCAGGGAAATACAAATAAAAACTACAATGAGATACCACCTCATTAGAATGGCTACTATTAAAAAAACAAAATAAGTGTTGATGAGAATGTGGAAAAATTGGAAAACTTCTTCACTGTTGGTAGAAATATAAAACTATATAGCCACTGTGGAAAACAGTATAGTGGTTCCTCAAAAAAATAAGAAATAGAATTATCATATGATCTAGCAATTCCTCTTCTGGGTATATACCCAAAAGGAACTGAAAGCAGGGTCTCGAAGAGGTATCTGTACACACATGTTCATAGGAGCATAATTCACAATAGCTAAAACATGGAAGCAACCCAGGTATCCACCAATGGATGAATGGATAAAGAAAATGTCACACACACACACATACACACACAGGGATATTACTCAGCCTCAAAAAGGAAGGAAATTGTGCAATATACTACCATATGGATGAACCTTGATGACATCACACTAAGTGAAATAGGCCAGTCACAAAAAGACAAATATTGTATGATTCCACTTATATGAGGTACTTAGAGCAGTCAAAATCAGAGACAGAAAGTAGGCTGGTGGCTGGCAGAGGTTAGGAGGAGTGGGGAATAGAGAGTTATTCAATGAGTACAGAGTTTCAGTTATAAGATGAAAGAGTTATGGAGATGGTGGTGATGGTTGCACAACATTATGAATGTATTTAATACCACTGAACAATACACTTAAAAATTGTTAAGACGGTAAATTTTATTATGTGTATTTTAGCACAATAAAAAAAATTGGAAAAAACAAAAAACGACTGCATAGATTGAAACCAACTAGATTGCCTAGATATAAAGTGAACTAACCAAACTAATTATTTGTTTATTACAGGCAAATACAAAAATACATTATTTAAGGTAACATCTTAAACTCAGGGGAAGCTGCTCAAGTTTCTTAAAATAGTTTTTAAAACCTCACCATAGATCTTGGTGGGCACTTTGGACTTACCTATAAAAAAAAAATAAAAATAAAGTAGATTAAAAACTATTGTATGGCTATGGAAGATTCTCCATGAAGTGGGAAAAAAAGTGCTGAGAACAGTAGGTATAATATGGAGCATATTCATATTCATTTGTGTTAAAAATGGGGCATACTGGAGTATATATTTTATATTTACATAATAAACTTATGGAAGGATTCACAAACTAATAAAAGTGGTTGCCTATTATGAGGTAAGAACTGGGCAGATATAGAATATAGGAAAGATCATCCTAAAACTTTTCCCTGTATATCTTTTTATATTTTTGAATTTTTGAACCATGTGTATGTTTGTTACCTATTCAAATTTTTAAATAAAGATCAAGTAAAATGATAAAAACAAAATTCCCCCAAACTAAAAATAAGTCTAACAAACGCCTCCTCTCCCACTAGGAAACCCTAAAACAAGTAACAAATGTGCTAAACAGATGTTGGATGTACATTGGTTCCAAGCCTTGTAGCCATCCTCCTGAATTAATTTTGGACTGGCAATGAGCAGTCCAAGTATTTCTGCTAGAAAGGCCTAGCTTTCTCTGAGTTATCTTCTTTTTTTCTGTTTCTTAATGAAGCTTGTCATACCTTCCTAATATGTTATCATCATCATCGTTTATGGCTACATTTAATTTACCTAGAGGCATAATTCAAACTCTCAAACAATTTTTAACATTAATTACTACACTGTCCTATCCATGGCCCAACTGCTTTGTAAAAAAAAAAAAAAAAAGTTACTGAGTTTTCCTTCCCTTTTCTTCCTTTATACAAGTTCTGGTTAAATTCTTGACAGCTGTCTAAAGATCATACCACATAATGCAAGTACTATGCATTTAAATATACTGGTTATATTTAATATATCTATAGCAGTAACATGGGAAATAGAAAATCAGGTTTATGTCTTAAGTATAATATACTTTTTAAGTATCAAATTCTATCCTGCGATCTAATAAAGATTTTACTGGTCTCTAGAGAGTCAATGCATGGTTTCCCTTTCTGAAAAACCAACCAGAACGTTTTTTTAAGAGAACACAAATTTGAATTTGATGGGATGGATTTAGGACATTGCTCCACGATTTTTCTTAGAAATTTCACCCCTTCCTTTGGGTTGACTAAATATAAGTGTGTCGCCCATAAGATTTCATATAATAACCCTTTCAAGGCCAAAGTACCAATGAGTGGATTTTGAAAACAGAAAAATATGTATTTAATCATACAATAATTGACAGGAACAAATATCCTGTGACTCACTTATCAGGAACTCCTTTTTCCTTTGGTATTAAAAGCAATGCTGTTGAAAGTACCAGTCTGCTAAGGTGCCTGTGCCAGAATGTAAATCAATACACTTCCTTCTTTAACAAAGTCTTGTATAAAAAATATCAGCTGAACCAGTGTATTTAGTGACACAAGTGACTTATATTCTGGTGCCAGCTCTTTATCTTGTCCTAGGCCAGTAACAAACTCTTAAGATCAATGGCTGGTCCAACAAACCACACTTTGAGGAGCAATGACGTATAGGATTCAAAATACAACAAAACATGGTCCAAAAAGCCTCTCAAGAAGTTTACAGTTTCAGGGGAGTGAGTCATGGACATGCATTACTGTAATACAAATAGAGTGCTGTAAGACAAAGGTACACATGAAAGAGCTAGGAGTTCAATGAAAAGGGAACTCACCTTGAAGCATTAAAATAGGTTCAAAAGTGGAGTGGTATTTGAAGGAGGTGGGTGGAGGCAGAAGAATGAAACAAGCGAAGGGTCAGGAATACTTGGGTAGACTGAGGATTTTAGCTTGGTGTGAAAGTGGGGTACATGAAGTCTAGTGGGAAATCAAGCAGAAATAGAATGGCGTCGGACAGGCCTCTGCACACTTTGTAGTTAATGGTAAATAAAAAGAGGTTTTTGTTTTGTTTTACAAGGATGGGAAAACGAATGATCAAATGTACTTTTGGAAAAGTCATTTCTGGCAATAATGTAAAGAATGGATGGGATAGGAATGAGTAACAGAAAGGGGAAACAAAAGAGAAGGGGCTATAAAAATGATTCAACGTTATTTACACAGTTTATATCTACACAGTAAATCAGTACAAATGCAGGATGGAAGCCTCCTCCCACCCAAAAAAGTCGGTGATGTTCTACATTAAAAATATATGAAAAATGAATTTTCCATGCAACGCCCTGAATTCAAACCAATTTTGTTTAAAAAACGTCAGCTAAACTATTGTTTAACATAAAGAAGATAAAACATTACAAATTATTTTTACTTAATTGACATCTTAATGGACTTGATGCTTTGCTGTCATAAGAACTGGAGAAAAGAAAGTCTAATAGCTGTTATGTTCCTAAAATTCAGTTAACTTAATAATCATACAAAAGTACATCTCAAAAAAAACATAAATGTTATGAGTTTAGAATAACTGAGTTTCTAAGCACTTACCATTCTCAGGCTGAGTTTTCTTAAGTGAATCAATGAGAGTACTGACTGCTTTTAAAACAAATATGATTTCTGTTACTTGTTGCCTAAAAAAGAGATGGGAAATTATTTCCATCAAGATTTAAGATATGGAATGTGCCTTTTTTACTGGGTTTCTACAAATAGACATACTTTGAAAAAACTGAATACAATGCAAAGTTAATGTTAATTTTACATACTTATAAAAGAAAAACAGTTTTACTAACATACACTTCAATGTACAAAATAAGATATATAGTTATTCTTACCATAAGTTATCAATTTAAAAGAGAAGGGAAAGGCAATCTACTCATGCAAATCTAAATTAATTTGTAAGATATTTCATATAACTACTTAAAATTGAAATATCTTCTAATATATGCTTTTAAAACTTCTCTGTGAAAGGTTTATTTTTATTTTTATTTTTAACTAATTAGAACTAAAAAGGATTTGCCAAAGCTTAAATGGAAATAAAGACTACTATTACCTCTTGGCACATATTTTATCATGTTAAAAGTACATTTAAAATTACAATAGTACTTATTTAACATTCTAATACAACAAATAACAATGCTCAAAATCAGTCCAAAGGTGGCACTATTTGGAAACATTAGCAATGAAGAATGAACTTGGAGTAATAAAAGATCAGTAAGAGTAGCTTGAGTCCCTTTTTTCCTCCTACACAAATAAAGCTCTTGTGTATTGTAGTACCCACCCCCCCATTCCTGGTATGAATCTGTGTTATTCTACAGATAAGATTTTCCTAACACTATGACAGGGTACTCTTTCAAGCCAACCTTTGTAAACATAGAAATATTTAACTGTATTGCAATGCTTTTTAGAAAATAATGTAATGATGACTGCATCAAACTAGGCTGATACAATATAACACTTCATAGCATAACTATAAAAAAGACTCAATTTAAAAGCAATAAACATAAAAAATGAAGGAAAAGTTACTTTCTGAAATCAAATAATATGTTATAATGTAATAAAATTTTCCAAGCAAGGCAACTTTATTACTGCTTTTCCAACTATACTTCAGAGATCAATTTTGATAAATCAATTTTCAATTATGACTATAATAGAATTACTAACAACTGTCTTTGGAATGTTGTATATAAATCTGAATATGGGTAAGTATAATGTTTATGTCCTAGAACTTCTAAATATAGTGAATCCTAAAAGTAGAAATACTATGGTTAATAAGGGTTGATAATGAAAAAAACCAAAACCAAAACCAAAAACCCCAGCAAACTACTATATCACTATTTTTCATTCATCATATTGGAAAAAGATAATAAAATTATAAACTGGCAAATAATTTTAAAATGATAAAAATGGAAGAAAAGGATATTCATATACTCCTGGGAGAAAGTAAATTGGTAGAAATCTCTGGTAGGCAATTTGTAATACATAGCAAAAGCTTTTAAAAGCTCTGTATCTTTGACAGGTCAATTCCAACTCCAGAAATTTACTATAAGTAAATAAGAATGTGCACGAAGATTTAGGGCTAGTGATTTACCTATCCAATACCACCTTATGAGATGGGACCCACAGTGATTTTCCTCTCCTGACTGTGATGATTTTGTCTTCCAATATTATTTCCTATTTGCTTCATTTGCTTTGCCTTAAGTTCTATAACTGCCACATTAAAAATAGACAACATAACTCTAATTTATGATGGCATTTTTTGATAAATTCTGATCTATACCCCAACTTTGATTAGCCTTAGCAAAAAGGCCCAGAGCCCTTTGCACTGTTATAGTTTGGCTAAATGAGAAGCAAATCAGTTTAGGTACAGGCGCTTAAAAAAGCAAATGAGATAAAAGAAGGTCTAAGATATGGCTAGCTGACCTATAAAGAACCCTAGAAATGACTGTAAAACAAACTATGAAGTTCCTCGAGTATAATTTACCTATTATTTTCTCTCTAGAGAGATCCACAGTCATGTGCTCACACAGATCCATTAAGTCCTTATCCAAAAATCCTTGAGAGAAGATTATATTTTAGAGTTCAATTTTGTTTTTCAAATTCAAAAAGGCAATTTGGTACATGTATCATATATTACGTAGCCTCCATGAGGAATCTGAAGAAGCACCCCGTAACAAAAACATTACTACATCGGAAGCAAAATTTATGAATATTTACATTGCAAATTATAAACAGCCTTGGGTTAAGTTCAGATCACTTATGACAAAGCTTGTTTTTCAAAGTTTTTTTATTATTAATAACTATTATATTGTATTTCCTTCATCCGTAAAATAAAATAAATACCTTGGAAGAGGGCATTTACCACTCAATCTTTCATCCTCTATATAGCGATGTAGTACATCTTGAGACCTCTTTAAAAGCACTGAGAGTGCCATTCGTGAGATGTAGCCTTCTTGAGGTGTTGTGACTTTATTACTGAAGGAAAACTGGAGCAATGTTTCAAAACACATTTTAGAAAATTCTTCTCTCAAACGAATATCAATCTCTGCTTCTGTAAAGTAAGTTTTGATGGTTAATGAAAGGTTAAATTAATACATTTTAATAACTCTTAGCACACTAAGAATAGAAGGAAATTGTTCAACTGATAAAGGGTATTTATGAAAAACTTATAATGAATGGCATGCATAGATATAAATAATTTTCGCCTTGAGCTTTGGCTGCAAGATCAAAAACAAGGCAAGACTGTCCACTGCCATCACTTCTACTCAACGTTTTTCTTGTCTTGGTCTTTTTATACCCTTCAGCAGCACTAGAGAATACCTCTCAACAGTTTTCTACCTGATCAAACTTGGAATGATCTCATTCTTTCTTTCTGTTGTCTTGGCAACATCCTTCCTGGAGCCGGACCTCTGCTCCAGTCTGGATTAGTTGCTCTCCAGGTATGCTGTCCGCCAGCTATATCCTGTACCTAGTCTTTGTGATCACCCTGTGAATTGTTTTTATTCTCTCTTGTGTTATGTCATACTTCCCAGATCTCATGCCTTCCCCTTACTTGGTTTACTTCTTTGTTTTCATGGAGCATATTCTGTAGTAGCTGAGAGTGAATGAGATATACAATTTTTGAGACCTTACATTTCTAAAAATGTCATTATTTTACTGTGGTACTCAAAGTGTGGCTCCTATGTAGCAGCATCAGCATCACAAGAGAACCTGTTAGAAATGCAGGCTGTCATGGCCCACCGCAGACCTACTGAATCAGAAACTCTGGGGACATCGCCCAGCAATGGCTTGACCTCCAGTTCATTATAATGCTCACTGACATTTGAGAATCACTGTTCTACACTCATACTTAGCCAATAGTAGGCCTAGGTATGAAACTCCATGTTAAAAATCCTTTCCATTTATAACTTTGAAACCACTGCCTCAATGTCTTCTAGCTTCCAATGTTGCTACTGAGAATTCCAATGTCAATTTGATACAACTCTTTTGGGTGAAAGTTTTTTCTTTTCTTTCTGAAATCGTTTAGGATCTTCTCTTTATCCCTATTTTTTTATATTTCTTGATGACATGCTTTAGTGTGGGTCCTTTTTCTTTCACTGTTCTGGGTCCCGAGTGACCATTTTTAATCTGGGAATTTATTTCTTCACATTGTTCCTTTGAGAATTTTCTCTCCTAGCTTTTCTCTCTTTTCTCTTTCTAGAAGATCTACTGTCAGATGTTAGACCCTTTGATTCATTTTACTTCTTTCTTCTCATATTTCTTCTCATATGTCCATCTTTTTGGTCCTTGCTCCACTTTCTGGGTTATTTCCTTAATTTTCTTCTAATACTTCAGCTATTACTTCAGCTATTACTTTTTTAGTTTCTATGAACTCTTTCATGTTCTGACTGTTCCCTTTTAATAGCATTTTTCTTGTTTCATGGATGTAAAATCTTTGATCTCTTTGGGCATCCTAATTATATTGATTGTACTTTTCTTTTTAAAAATGTTTCCTATGACTGTGCGTTATCTCTTTCCTACCGGTTTCTTTTACCCCTTTTCATTTGTTTTAGTCTTTTTCTTTCACGTTGGGAGATTTTCTCAAATGTCTCTGAACCTGGCTGCCAGATCATACTTAAGAGCAGGGGACAAAACAAGATCAGTAAAACCTCAGTGTTTATAGACTGGTCTTGTTTAGCAGGGAATATTTACATCTAGTAATTATAAACATTGTTCTTAATACATATTTTATAAAAATTTAAAGTTTTAAGGTACTTAACAAAAAGTTGATTATATTATTAAAATAAGCAGACAAAATTTTTTTCTCTGAGGTTCTCATGTTTGTGAAATCTGCACTTTACAAGATCAGTTTTAGAAATTGGGCTAGGAGAAAATGTTTGTGAAGTAAGCAGTATGAGAGACATCTAATGGTCAAACTGTGCATATATATGCTCTTTAAAATGTTCAGCACAGCTTAATAGAAGTCATGGCTCTGGTGAACTCTGGGGATTAAGGATATTCATGGCACAAATTCACAAATTTTTAATTTCACAGAAAAATCACATTATGATGCCACAATTACATTTAACACTTGAGCACAGGTTTAGAAAAAGAGAAATAATAGCAAAAAAACTAACTTATATATCATCTTCCAGTAAGGTAGCATGATATAATCAAAGGAAGCATGTACTTCGTTTTAAGAATGAACTTTTGCCTCCAACCTTAAGATTGTGGGCAATTTTTATCAAGCTTTCTAAACCCATTTTCATTTTGTAACATGGTGTAACCTATCCTCACAGAAATGTTGTGAGGAATGAGATTAATATTCTGTTCCTTCCTTAATACCTTACGCAGAGTAGGTATTCGCTAAATGTAAGTTCCCTTAACTAGTGTCAAAGCATCTTTTTAATTTTTTTTTTTTTTTTTTGTGGTGGCGGAGAAACAGTATGTTTTTCCAGGACCCATTAGCTCCAAGTCAAGTAGTTGTTTCAATCTAGTTGTGGAGGGCGCAACTCAATGGCCCATGTGGGAATCGAACCGGCAACCTCTGGTATTATGAGCACTGTGATCTAACCAACTAAACTAACCAGCCGCCCCAAGGCATTTTTTTTTAAAATGGAATAACTGTGCAATCTGTAGTACTGAGAGGTTGGTATTAATATCTTTATTTTACAGATGACAAATCTCAGATTTAGAGAAGTTAACCAACTGCTAAGTGACAGAATACACACTTATTACCTCCCAATAATCCAAAACTGGTAACTTGTGTCCGCCTGCAAAGTCTTAAGCGGATTCCTTAAGTGTTATGCAATTTACTTTATTACACATAATCCACAAAATATTTACCACATTTTCCCCTCATAAAGCTTAATGGTCTAAATCACATTCTTAAAAAGTACCTAACCATTCTCCTGTTTACATTTACCACAGTCACAGAAGTAAACATTTCTACAGTCAGCTTCTTCAAAAGTACTTCAATACTTACTACAAGTTTTAAAAAATCATTGAAATAACATACCTGTAAATGAAGATGACTGAGAATGTATTGAGCCCTTATTAAGCATGGTCATTATCTGACCAACAAATTCCTTAGGAATAAAATTGGCATAAGGTAATATCTCAGTGCTGATAAGCTGAACTACCTAAAACGAAAGAGGCAAATTCAAATGCATTTTTTTTTCTTGAAAAAGACTGACTCAAATGATAATTTCTAAAGTAAAATTTAAATTTTATTTGTTTAAAAAAATCACTTAAAGAATCTTCCTTAATAGAAGTACACAGATATTTTAGTGTTAACATAGTCTGTTTCCCCCATCTGCCTTAGTAAATAACTTTATCACAACATAGTCAATAGTATAAACTGTTTACTCTGAAACAATTTTAGCAAATGTTGATCTTCAACATGGCATGTGTAAACAGTGCTCTAGAGAAAAAGTCAGCATGTGAAATTTATCCATGTTAGAATCAAATATCTAAAACAGGATTAAGAATAAGATTTAAATCACCTTTTAAAACCATAAAAATGAGCCATAAGAGAAAGCAAAGTTATACTAATTTTTGTTTAATAGCTTATTTTTAACATGTAATATATTATTTTGCCTTTTGAAGAAAAAAAGTTTGAAAAAAAAAGTTTAGGAGAGTTTTAATATACTATTGGGATAAAAAACAATGTTTTGTACTTATATGATGATGCCTATACTTTTTATGTACACTATAAAGTAATTGATTTGATTTACTTAAAAGTTCCCCTATTCCACTTAAAGGAAAAATATGAAAAACAATGATTTCCCCAATAAAAAAATCCATAACCAAAAACTACTTTAAACTTCATTTATAATCAACAAAAATTTTCTTTAAAAAACACCCATTATTTGCTTCAAGAATTCCAGAGGCTGTTTCTATAGCTGGTTAAAAATGGAAAAATATTTGCAACTCATTGATTAATTTGAACTATAAACATCTGATTTGTCAATCTATAGAGTGAGCTCTCAAATACATACTCGCTGACTAATGGATTTATTTTGCTGAATCAACTGCTGTTTAAAATTATTAAATGGCACAACTAAGTATCTAGAAAACAGACACACAGCACAAAGCTAAAAAATACAAGGAAGTCATTTTTAAAAGGTTAGTGCTTTAAAATTAACCTTTAAACTTCATGAGTTTTAATGCTTTTAGGTTCAAGCTTAACCTATTACTTTACTTCACTCTTACCAATTTTATAGTTTCAACATTTCTACTATGTGATTTACATAAATGGTCACAGGAAAATATTTTAAATCGCTTCCTTACCTCGACATCAATACTTTCATTTCTTTGAAATTCTTGAATAGAGAGGTTATCTGGAGGTATGCTAAAAAATAAATAAACACTTGATTTTTAAAGGTAAAATAGTCCCTGGAAATACAAATAGAAAATAAACAGTATTCAAATGACAAAAAAAAAATCATATTTTCTCCCCAGGTTATGACATCACTATTTATTTAAAAGAACAGTATTTTTAATTGAAGTCATTGTATAAATCACTAAGCTAATAACAAACACAAAATTACAGCTACAAAAATACTTGGCCAAATCCTGAACTAAATAAAATCTGTAAAACTAATCTTCTTTCAGTACCATAAATGCAAAAACCAAGAAAAGTAATTACCATCTGCAGCTATAGGAAAAATTACCACTGAGATGATACCTGAATTTACATATATGGAAGGTGCCAAAAAATGTATAAACATTTTAAGAAAGGAAAATCTGTATTAAAATTGTAATAATATATACCGGTAACAAAAGATGAATACAAGTCATGTGTATGCATTTTTTTGGCACCCCTGATATTACCAATGATTTAAAGAGGGCCTTGCTCAATTTGCTGAATTATACACTCAGAGACTGTCCATTAAAAACTGATCTTTAATATATTAAAGATCTTTACAATAAAATACAGAGAATATCTGAAAAAAAGAGAACCGATTCAGACTTTCTAAAGCAGAAAATTGTTCCAGTAACATCAGAAGAAATCAATATTTCTGAGGTAAATTCTAGACCCTGTGGCTCTCAATAAAACAGCAGTAAAATGGTATTAAACTTATGAAACATTGAAATATTAACTACTTCAAAACAGCTGAGCATAGGATAGTAATGATTATTACAATAACAACGACAGCTAAAATTAGAGAGCCCCCACTGTACTAAGAGCTTTATTTGTATTATTTCCTATGTTCCCACAGTAACTACATGGAATATTATTACCATTGATAGAAGAGGAAACCGAAGCTCAGAATGGCTAGTAATATGATCAAGAACACACTGCAAATAAATGACAAGGCCACAATTTGAACCTAGATTTATCTGATATTTGAGCCTAAATTCTTTTATGTTCTAAATTACGTTTAGGTTTAGAAGTATAGTATGTAGTTTTGTATTTAGGCCTATTATTGCTCTGTTTGGTATTATTTGGTTTATCTATTATAGGTATTAAAATACACGAGCACAAATGCCAACTGGCTGACTACCAATAAAAAAAGCTTTTTAGAAACATACTGTAATAATATTAATATTATGGGATCATATATCAGAAACACTAAACTATATTTTTTAAATATCTTATCATGAGGGAAGAAAGTAGAATACAAAGCTAAAAACTTAAATGTTCACTCTTCCTAATCCTAATGATCAATAAATTTAGGAAATTATTCGACTATACACAAGTTTGGTAATTGATCTCAGAAACCAAACTAATGGTTATTTTAATTTATAGTTAGTATCCTTACTAGATACTTTGAGCACATCAAAAATATTGATTGAGCTTTAAAACAGGCTAACGATTAACAGAATTTACCTAAAAATTATAAAGGGAGATAGTCAATATTGTAAGTACAAATGAACAGAATTTACCTAAAAATTATAAGGGGAGATAGTCAATATTGTAAGTACAAATGGGCCATATAAGATCCTTATGTTCTGGGCCGGCCAAGTGGCGCGATGGTTAAGAACTGGCTTGGGACGCCAGAGGGCCCCAGTTCAGATCCCTCGTATGAGGGCCAGTGACACTGCTCTCTACAGCTAAGATGCTGAACACCAGCTCGACCTGGAGCTGGGCTGCTTTGAGTGGCTGGCGATGGCGTAGGCTGCAGCCCCTGATGCAGTGGGTTGCCATGGGCTACCGTGTATAGCCAGCAGCCAGTGTGAGCGGCCATCCAGAAGCTGGAGACTGATCTGCCTCGCCTGGGAAGAGCGTAATGATGGTGCCAACTTGGGCCAGGGAAGCAACGTCTTCCACAACTAAACTGAAGAACAAAACGACAGCAACTTGTCTGTTCCCCTTCTCCCAATTCCCCAGCGCTGTTCCAATTCCCCAATAAAAATCTTTAAAAAAAAAAATCCTTATGTTCTGTAAGTTTACAGTAGTGTTTTTTAAAAAAATTATTTTCATTAATTTTTATTTAAAATAAAATAGCCTTCAAACTGCTATTATTTGTATTTTTTTATTCTCTCTGTATAGTACATTAAAAATTTTTTTTGAGATATAATTCATATACCATAAATTCATCCTTTTAAAGTGTATAATTCAGTGCTTTTTAATATATTCACAAAGTTGTGCAATGGCTGTCTCTTCTAATTCTAGAATATTTTCATCACCCTCCAAAAGACCTGTATCCATTAGTAGTCACTCCCCATTCTCCCCTCTTCCCACTTCTGACAACCATTAATCTACTCTGTCTCATTGGATTTGGCTATTTTGGACATTTCATATAAATGAGATCACATAATACATGGCCTTTTGTGTCTGGTTTCTTTCACTTTAGTATAATGTGTTCAGTATTCATCTATGTCATAGCAAGCATCAATACTCCATTCCTTTTCATGGCAGAATATTCCTCTGTATGGATTTACCGCATTTAATTTGTCTATTCATCAGCTGATGAACTTCAGGATTGTTTTCCTTTTTTGATTATTATGATAATGCTGCCATGAACATTAGTATACAAGTTTTTGTGTGAAGATGTTTCATTTCATTTCAATTATTTTGGGTAGCACTTAGTGATTTTTAACTTAAGGTCCACAGACCATTTATTGTATGAATTCACACTAGCCCATGTGTCTTCTAGAAGTCGTACTCATTGCAAACAAACAAGTAAACAAAAAACTAGAAAACCCAAAACTGATCTAAAAGCTTATTCACGGATGACATCATAGTAAAAACTTCATTTTTATTATTAGCTAATGATGACGTGAGATGCTCCCTTTTTTCTCTCCTCTTTACCTATAACTAGTGAAACATCTATTACTCAGCAAAGATTCCTTTGCTCAACACACTAGGATGCCGGAGAGATCCGCACATCTGTACATCTGAGGTGGGTGGACTGGAATGCATATGGTAGGTGGAACTGAAGGGATGGCAGGGATGGTGCCTATAACCCTGCAGCCTAAGGGAGCACGGTGGAAGCAGCAGTAATGGGGCCACAACTCTAGCACCCGGTTTCAGGGCCTCTGCAGGGTAAGCGCGGGAGCTACTGGCTTCCTCCCCTGGCTGTGGAAGTGCCGCACCACAGGGGCTTGGTAACAGCAGCAGAGGTGGTGCACATGCATTTCTTGCTACCAGGTCAAAGTAGAGCCAGCTGCCTCAAGAAATCAGGCAGCAGCAATGTCGGGCTTGGGACTCCGGCTCCAGACACACTGCCTGAGACTCAGACACCCTAGATGCATCAGGGGCGTGGCAATCTCTGTGACCCTGATGGTGTTGCCTGCAACAGCAAAGAAACTCACAACTGCAGCAACATTGGAAGCAGTAAAGTACCAGCAACCCCAGAGGTACAAGTAGTGACAAAGAGGGCACACTTGACACATCTGACAGAGGCCTTAGAACGTGGAAACTGTTGGCTCTCAAATAACTAGAATTAGCTCAGGTAAGAGAAACCAAAAGCTTGTGCTATAGTGCCACCTTTTGGAAAAATAAAGAAAGGCCTCTGATTATCAATCTGCTGAATTGTTAAAATTAAAGCTATGCCTAAAGAAGAAAGGCTTTTTCTACTTTAAATGAGCCGGCAGAGGAACAACCCATAAAGCACCATGGATAATCATGGTAACAAAAAGAAAATGACAATTCTCCAGAAATCAAATCCGAAGTCACAGAAGATTTTGACCTAAATGATAGAAAATTCAAAATAGTTGTCATAAAGAAACTAAACAAGATAAAAGAAAACTCAGAAAGGCAGTTTAGTGAGCTCAGGAATACAATTAATGAACAGAAGGAATACTTTACCAAAGAGATTGAAACTCTAAAAAAAGAACCAAACAGAAATTCTGGAGCTGAACTCAATAAATGAGATGAAGAATGAATTAGAAAGCATTAGAAATAGAACAGACTGTATGGAAGAGAGAATTAGTGAGCTTGAAGGTATAAATCTACAAATAATGCAGGTGGAAGAAGAGAGAGAACTAAGATTTTTTTTTTTTAATGAAAGAACTCTATGAGAACTATCCAAGTCCATTATAAAGGGCAACATAAGGATAATGGGTATCCTTAGAAGAAGAGAGGGAGAAGGGAACAGAGAGCTTATTAAAGGAATAATAAATAAGAACTTCCCAATCCTGGGGAAGGAACTGGGAATAGAAGCACCAGAAGCTAACAGAACACCTAATTATCTCAATACAAAAAGACCTTCTCCAAGATGCGTTATACTAAAATTGTCTAAAGTCAATGATAAAAAAATAATTCTTAAGTTAGCCAGGGGAAAAAACGACAGTAACTTACAAAGAAACCCCCATCAGGCTATATCAGCAGATTTCTCAGCGTAAACTCTACAGCCCAGGAGAGAGCGGAGTGACATATTCAAAATAATAAAAAATAAAACCTGCCAGACAAGAATAATATATCCAGCAAAGTGGTCTTTCAGATATAAAGGAGAAATAAAGGCTTTCGCAGACAAAGAAAAGCAGGAGTTCACTATCTCAAAACCTGCCTTACAAGAAATGTTTAAAGGAACGGTTCTACTGGAAATGAAAAGCCAAAAATACATAAAACTTTGAGTAGGATGGTAGGCAGAATCAGAAAATTACAACTCTATTACAGACTAGAGTGTGGAACAATTATAGCATAAAGATTAAAGGGCAAAAAATCATTAAAAATAGTAGCTACTTCAATTTGGTAGTGAACACACAACATAAGAAAAAGGAAAATTTGTTTTTGGTTTTTTTTTTTGCAAGATTTTTATTGGGGAATTGGGTAAAGGGAACAGACAAGTTGCTGTCCTTTTGTTCTTCAGTCTAGTTGTGGAGAACGTTGCTTCACTGGCCCAAGTTGGCACCATCATTGAGCTCTTCCTGGGAGAGGCAGATTAGTCGCGTCTTCTGGACGGCCACTCATGCTGGCTGCTGGTTACACACGGTAGCCCATGGCAACCCACTGCAGCCTACGCCATCGCCGGCGACTCATGGCAGCCCAGCTCCAGGTCGAGCTGGTGTTCAGCATCTTAGCTGTGGAGGGCAGTGTCACTGGCCCTCATATGTGGGATCCGAACCGGGGCCCTCTGGCATCCCAAGCCAGCTCTTAACCAACATGCCACTTGGCCGGCCCAAAAGAGGATAATTTGTGACAACAAAAAAATGAAAGGGGAGGAGGAAAAGGACAAAACTTGTATAGGCAAATGAAGATAACATGCTATCAGAAGAAAAAAGGACTATTTTATCTATAAGATGTTTTGTATAAACCTCATGGTAAACACAAAACAAATCACACTAAGATCAAGTGGGATTTATTCCAGAGCAAGGATGGTTCAACATCTGCACATCAATCAACATGACAGACCACATTAACAAAATGAAGGATAAAAATCATATGATCATCTCAATAGCTGCAGAAAAAGCATCTGACAAGATTCAACATCCATTTATGAGAAAAACTTTCAATAAAATGGGCATAGAAGTACCTCAACATAATAAAAGCTAAATATGAGAAATCCACAGCTAACATCATAGCAATGTTGAAAAACAGAAAGCTTTCCCTTTAAGATCAAGAACAAGACAAAGATGCCCACTCTTGCCAGTTCTGTTCAACACAGTATTGAAAGTCTTAGCCAGAGAAAACAGAAGAAATAAAAGGCATCCAAATTGGAAAGGAAGAAGTAAAATTGCCAGTATTTGTGGATGACATGGTTTCACATATAGAAACCCTAAAGACTCCACATCCCCCAAAGAAAACATTAAAAATAATAAATGAATACAGTAGAGTTGTGGGGTTCAAAATCAATATATAAAATCTGTTGTGTTTGTATACACTAACAACAAACTATCAGAAAGAGAAATCAAGAAAAGAATCTCGTTTACAATCACAATTAAAAGAATGAAATACCTAAGAATAAATTTAACAAAGTGAGAGACCTGTACCCTGAAAACTATGTCACTGATGAAAGAAACTAAAGAAGAAACAAAGAAATGGAAAGTTATTCTGTGCTCAGAAATTGGAAGAATTAACAATGTTAAAATGTCCATATTACTCCAACACAATCCACAGATTCAATGCAATCCCTATCAAAACCCCAGTGGCATTTTTCACAGAAACAGAACAAAAAAATCCTATTTGTATGAAACAACAAAAGACCATTAACAACCAAAGCAATACCGAGAAAAAAGAACAAAGCCAGAGGTATCACACTTCCTGATTTCAACCTACACCACAAAGCTATAGTAATCAAAACAGCAATGGTACTGGCAGAAAAACACACATACACAGACCAATGGAACAGAACTGAGAGTCCAGAAATAAACCCACACATATATGGATAACTAATTCACAACAAAGGAGCCAAGAACATACAACGAAGAAAGGAAATACTGTTTTAGAGCAATTATAGGTACAATGTACAGTTCTTGAAAGATTGTCCTAAAAATAAATTAGCTGACCTTTTAGTAAAGAGAAAGTCTTCAAAAGCGTTGGCTAGTTCTGGCCACATACTGTCAAATTTTCCAGAAGAAGCATGCTGCCGGGCAACAGGTAGCCCAATAGAAAGAACTTTGAGGAGAGAAGATACTGCTAGTTTCCATGTGCTTTCAGAAGGGCAGGAATACTTCAAACTGAGAGGAACCCTAAGGGTCTGTGAAAAAAAAAAGTTTAAGACATTAATTAAAACATACACACACAACTTCACTTAAAACAAAACAAAAAAGACAACAGCAGAGAGAAAAAAATAATAGCATAGGCATTTTCATTTAAAAAGGGATATTTTCTAGAAAGACCAATTCATAGTCCTCAAATCCTACTGCCTAGAAAAATAAACTTTTAAATCCTGTCTCCATTTTGTAAGCAATGACCCTGAAGAAGAAACAACCTTTCTGAAACTTAGTTTCTCATTATTAAAAATAGTGATGTTATCTGAAAAGCTAAGAGTAGGAAACTTAAAACTTTGCAGCTTCCCTCAGCTTGATGTTATGGAATTAGAACATTCTGCCACAGTTCTCCTATCAGAAAATACTTTGACTGATGGGGTTCTTCCACCCAAGAAAGATCAATATTGCTTATTTTTTTTCCAGTAATGGTTACAGGAGAATAAACAGAGCCGAAAAAATCATTAATTTGAAGTCTTATGTTTTATCTCGAAAATTCGTTGAATTTTACCTTCTACTTTAACATTTTAACAGACTTTTTCCTTTTCCAGATATTTTTAGCAAAATTGATAATTCAAGACGATGGTTTATTTTACCTTTAACCCTTGAGGATACAGGAGTAGAGCATCTGAGCTATGTATAGTGACTAAGGTGTTGAGACTTACTTTTTAATTGATCAAGTTTTGAGACAAGTTATTGTTAACCATTAAAGCGCTAATTTGGCAGTTCAGAATGGATTTCTCTGGTCATAGTCTATGCAGCAACTAAAAGACCAGACTGACCAAACTATCACAGTGAGTTATCCCAGAGTACCATCAATTAACAGTATCAGCATACTGTCAGATAATTTGCATTAGAATGAAAATTCTGCTTTTATGGAACAATTCTAGTCACAGAAAGAGTAAACAGATAAATTTTCATATTTCAATGTTATGGAGTGAATGAATATAAAATCCAATTTTATCACCCTCCACACAAATTATTACTGAGTACTCACATAGTGCACATATGAACCATGTTATATTAGCATGAAATGGACCTCCACTAACAGACAATTAGCTTACCCAGAATTTATTCATCCCTTTCCTCTCCCCATGTGCTTTGGGGGAAGCTGACCCCTACCTCCAACTGGGAATTAGGGTAAGGAGATGATTAGCTTATTTAACCAATCTACTCCATTTCCCTGGCTATAATCACTGGTTAAGATTAGAGGTGGGACTAAAGCTGATCCACTTAAGGTTAATTTAAGGAACTTAAGAATAATAACGTAATAGAAGCACGCCTACACACGCCCCTCCTACTGGACATATATAATGCCTTTTTTAGCCTAAAACTATAAGTAAAAACAGGATGCAGTCAACCCTTAGCAAGCAGACCACAGAGAAAAAAATTTGGGTTTTGATGATACTATTGAATCCCTGATTTTTCCAACTAAGCACACCAATAAATCCTTTTTATTGTTAAAGCTAGTCAGAGCCTGAATGTATGTCATATGCAAAGAAAAGAATACTAAATTATACAAAGGCCATTCTGAGTTAACATTTTATAACTCAAGGTTAGATAAAAGTATGGTTTACTACTGCAATTAGTATTTTACTGAAACCAAGGGAACATTAAACTCCGCAGATCTGTTTGATTTATACATTTTATTTTTTTAAATATTTAAGCAACTAACACAAGGATTGGAATATAGTGTGTACTCAGTAAATGTGTGTGAAACTGGGAAATTCAGTTCTTGCTGTCACAAAGCTCACACTTTTTGAGAAAGGAAGAGCCTTGTCCAATTAACTACAATACAATGCAGTTAGTTAAGTGGCATCAACAAAGTGAGAGTACAGAAAGGCATTATTTAATTCCTTTTAAAATGCAAACGGATTCACATCACTCTTCAATGTTCAACCCTTCAACGGTTAAATAATAAAGTCTGATTCCTTATGAATAAAACCCATAGCTATCTTTTCAGACTTATTGCAGGCCCTGTCACCTCTCTAAATTGAATTTCTCAACAGTTCTTTAAAATATATCATGATCTCTTATGCTGCTTAATTTACCTATAAATTAGGTAATAAATTTACCTCTCGCTCCCTTTTTATCTACCAAACCCTATTACTCCTTCAGGTATCCCTTCTGCTCATCCTTGCCAAAATCCCCTAGGCAGTTTAGTTATTTCCTTGTCCATGACGGGAAGAAAAAATTTTTACTCAGCGGACTACTTGGCAAATACTATCAAATGCTGTTCCTCAATTGATTCTCTTTTTAGTTAAGACATGTAAGTGATATTGGTATTATCCTTTTTTTTTTTACAGATGAGAAGCATTCTCAGACTGGTTCATTTGCCCAAAATCATAGAGCAGCAAGTCAATCGCAGGGCACTATTTCTAAGTCAGGTCTATCTGAATGCAAAGCTGCCTCCACTCTTTGGTTGTCACTGAGCACTTAACACACTGTATTCTTTACCTTTCTATATTCCATATATTGAATTATTAAATGTAAGAGTTAGCTTATTCATTTTTAATCTTTACTATTTAGTTAGTACCTGGTAACAGAGATGATTTAAAAAATATTCTTAATAAATGAGGAGAGAGAGGACAGTTATGATGGAATGAGTGGCAAGGGGTAGAAAGAAGTACGACAAAAGTCAAGGGAAGAAAGTTTTAAGATGACACGGGCAAGTGGTACCACATTATAGGGAAGATAAAGAATTAGAAAAGGGCTCAGGACTTGAAGATGTGATCTTCTGTAACCTGAAGCAAGTAGTTTCTGTAGCACAATGTGGAAGTAAGCCAGTGTACAATAGGTTGAATGACTGGTGGCGAGGTGAAGGCCATCAGCTAAGGAAAGTTGAAAGAGGACGGAAATTTGAGTAGGAAGTAAATTGAGAGAAAGCTCTTGTACAAAAGAAGTTTGTACAAATTCGTTCATCTTTCCAGGATAAAGTCTAAGAGAATGAAAGGGAAATGAAGGAAAGAATTACTAACAAAGAAATGTGGGAAAAAGAAAGGATGGACACAAAGAAAGAAACAGAGAAAGGTGTTCTTGTTGGAGGGCAGTCTGTTCATATTGGCCTGTTTAGTTCATCCATGTGCTAGGGGATGAGTAATGTTTCAGACTGTCCTTCAAAATAGAGGGGAAAACAAGAAATAAGCTTTGGAGGAATGGGGCACAGTCAACGGAGTTGAATTTTAAAGATGACTGTCAGGAGACAGCATGCATGATCAGTGAAATCAATGGGTTGCACTGTGAATTTCTCCCTGAATGCTCATCAACCTCAAAATGTGAGAAGCACTATCCTAAGAACCAGGATCCTCACTGTCTTATGTGGCAAAATTTAAGAATTGTAAAAAATCTAATGTATACTTACTTTAAAATATTTTTCATTAAAAAAACCTTCTCATACATTAGAAAACCAGCTTCCTAAATACTACCCGTGAATGTTGGAGAAAAGTCACTATAAATAATAATATAAATTATATTTTCCATTTATCTCAATATGTGATAATATATTATTACCTAAAGAGTAATTTCAATAATACTGTCATCATCAAATGAAAGTGTAGAAATTAAAAAAAAAAGAGATACCTTAATAATATTCTGGAGTACTTTCTCATTCACCACTGCTTTGTGACAGGCTGTTTTTTGGTATAAATCCACAACTACTTCTAAAGACCTTTCAGCAAACGGTACATAATTCAAGGCTACCCATTCCGCCTAGAAAGTAATATTTGCAAATGAAGTTAAAAATAAATGAGATTAAATGAAATCATATTGTTTTCAAAGAGAAAGCTTCTTTGTCTTTAAGTTCAGGCCTTGGTTTTAGGTCAGATTATATTACATGCAAAGTTTTCAAAGAGATATGTACTTTATGAAATAATTTTCAGCCAGGCAAAAATTAAAACTATCGGAAAAAGCACACAGAGCATTCTATCAAAAACTGGGAAAGATGTACTTTATTTGTTGCCAATAGGTTAGGACAATTTTAGGAAATTTAACTCACCGGTGCAAATAGTTGGATCTATTGTGATTCCATTGTGTTGCAAGACAAATAGAATGAGAAAAGTTAATACATATTAAAACTACTTTTCGGACCATGTAAAATTATAATTTTTATGTTGTGTGAACAAAATCAGCATGTGCATGCATTCAGAAATTTACTTTTCCCCTAAGCCAAAACAAACTTAAAATTTGCCAATTATGGCTATAAATCTTTTATGTAAAATCCAACTAAATTTCACACCAGTTAGTAGACAACTTCTTATGTAGTACACACAAATATCCTCATTTTGCAACGCAGGTATCTATTTTCGATAAGATTTGGCTTAGGGATTTAGAAGCCATTTTGTAGTGTGATGGGGCAGCCAAGAAAGAACTTTGAATGAAGATGTACTATAGAGGAACGAAACAGCAAACTTTGTGGAGAACCACATGGGAAATGAAAATCATAAATAAGAAAAAAAGAAACACAGAAAGGATTTTCCAAATAATATTTCTTTTCAGCTTCAACTGTTAACAGATATATGAAAGTTTATTTGTGAATGAAAAGTTTCTGAGATAATCAGAGTTCATCTTAGGTGGAATTGACTTGTATTTATAAGCCATGATTACCTGATTATATTTTGCATTTGCAATGTGCTTTGTTTCCAGCTGTCCGTACTGTGGAGGTTTACAGGAAAATTCTACAAATGCCAGTAACTGGTCAAATATAGCTGGATACATTATCTGCATGTTTTCTGGTCCTACACAGATGGCCTATAAAAGGAAGACATGAACAGTAGAATGCATAATCTGAACTCCATTAAGTTCTTTACTATTACATGCATTTGTTTAACCAAAGAATCTTAATGGCTGTCCTATTTTACATATCATACAATCTTTTATAAGCCCTGGAGGACATTTAAGCTATTTTAAATTATTAATGATAAAGTGTAGGTTAAATGTATTAATCAACTAAAAAACGTTTTTTAATAAAAAGTGTGATTTATTACTTAACAGACTGGAAAAAGGGCAAGCATTTAAAGAGAAGTACAAGGCAGTCCTGAGGTTCTACAATCTGATCACTTGTTCAGTAATACAGCCATTAGATCCTTAAGAATGCTTCATTGACCAACATGATATTGAGTTCTATTATATTTAAGTGATAAGATCAGTTCATTCAAATGACAGCTGATTTCTGCACCATGCCTGGTCCGCTAACTTTAACAAATAATCATGTGCATTACAACTGGGAAGATAAATCATGTATGAAAATTTGTTTCTAAAAGAAATATTTGTTAATTTTTTAACAGGGTAGTATCTATTTAATAAGCATCCAATGTATCTGAATATAGACTTGACTTAAACAAAGAAAATTAAAATAATTTTAATAGAAATAAACTCATTGCTACAAATAATTTGATGAAACACAGAATACAATGCACATCCTGACACTGGAGATTTTAATTACCAATTCACATATGTCAAAAGTACTTAAAACAAAGCTTGTTTTTATTTTTTTTCTAGCCACAAATGTGTTTTCTTCTCTCATCCTTGCATATTTTCCTGTTTTAGTATTTATTTTCTCTGTGGAAAAAACATGTAATGATATTATTTATAGAATGTCTAAAATATACTTGTGCTGTATCCAACAAAAACCATGAATACTCTACTCTCGAGGTATCCTCAAATACTAAATCAAAATTCAAAGCATTCAAATTTTTGAGGAATTTCTTTTAAACAATGTTTGTAGCATTTATGTTTTTATGCAATCCATGGCTTTTTTAACCTGTCAAATAGATTAGTTTTATTTTCCCTCAGAGAAGATATAGCTATTTAGCTATAAATGAAATTTTACATAAAACTATCTTGAGATAGAAAGTGGATAAGCAAAATGCCTCCCATACCTAAGTTAGATCATCTTATCATTACAAAGTAAAAAAGTAAAATAAAGATATCTAAAACCATCTCTCAGTATTTAGTTATTTTTCCCAGAAATAGTGAATGAAGAACTTGAATGGCTTGTAGCCTAAAATATTCTCTCTACTGATTGCTTCTAATAGTCTCACTTTCTTCTTTATTAACCTCTTGCTGAGTCTTAACTCTTATAAATAAGCAAGTAGTAATTACTGTGGAAAAGAGACAATTATCCTAAGTGAATTATTTTATTTTCAATGACTGAAAAAACACAACAACAAAAAAAACCTGTGTGAACTCCTTAGAAAACTAAGCATCGCCATTTTTCTGGAAATATCATAGCACCAAATAATGACTTTGACTATATGTTTTGATTTTCAGTAATCCTTTATAAAAAGAAAACATAGTTTTATAGATTATAAAGCTATTCTAGGATCATAAAATACAAAATATGGAGTTGACTTTTTTTTTAACAATAAACTCCATCTAAGAAAAAGTTATTATTGGGTTTTCTTCAGTATTCTGAAGTTTGTATATCAGAAAAACCTATAGTATGAACTTGATACCAGATTTTACTCCAAAAGCTGAGAATCAATAAGTAATGTGAACAATATTTCCTATTAGTTCTTGAAAACTGTGTAAGTGAAAAGAAGAAAAGAAGCTGGACATCTAATCTCTGCAATGGTTTAAGGATTCTCTCATTAAGTTATTTAACAAGAATTCATTCAGTGCCTACCATGTACTCACTAAGTCTTACAAACATTATCCCACTGAACAGGAAAAAAAAGTTGTAGATTTATTACTTTTATTTTCTAGATGAGGAAATACAGAGAGATTCAGAAACTCGCCCCTATGAACTAGAAGACAGGGCTTCACTGCACAACTCCAAGGGGGCCATTTGCACACAATGTGATGGTGTCTCCTGCAGTACCACTCCAGCAGCCTTGCTGATGGAGGCAGAGAAGCAATCTAGCCATCTGACTTTAGGGAGTTTAGCAATAAATAAGACAGATGTAGTCTCCTGATCTCAGAACTTGGGGAAAGATAATCAAATTCTTAGGTTCCCCATGTATGCCAAAATATCTTGGCAAAAACAAAAAAATTAATTAGCATACATACATAACTAAGTCAATTTGGTCAGGAACGAGTGATTTGAGACCAAGAGAAGACTGTGACCCTAAATATCAGGGTAAACATGAAATAAAAAATAAATAGCTTTTAATCAATAAAATATTTTGCTGGATAGCTTATTAGTTTAAGGATAGTCCCAAAGCAAATAAACTTTGTTCCAAAGCAAAAAAATTTCTAGCACCTATGGGGGAAAATATCAAAAGACTCTTACAGATAATGAAAAATACATAAATTTTTCTCTGTTAGGAAATGTTTGTATCACTTTCAGGTATTATGAAACACAGTTTAGATAATCACATAAGTAATAAATAATGGGTACAATGAAATGAATGATGCAAACTATCAATTTGATAGAAATAATAAAGCTGTTTAAGTTTCAGGTTGAAGGTGTATGTTTTTTGTTTTTTAATTTTTATTTTTTATAGCTGAGACATTCTGCCACCTGTTGGCAGCTCAGCAGCAGCTCAGCTTGGGATGGGACTCGAACCCGCTATTGCTCAGAGCTCACACTCTTTAGCAAGCTCTTAACCAACTGAGACACCCGAACGGCCCTGAAGGTGTATGTTCTTTTCAAAGCCATTAAAAGCTCAGCACAAATTTCTAGTAATTGGGATGAATGATTCCATTTATTGTCTTATTGTTAAAGCAGATTTTTTTTTGTTTTAATTACATATTTTTCCCTTGAAAAGAATTTTTGATATTTGTTGTTGCTTCTTTATTATCCTCTACATATGTATAAAAGCTTGACTCAAACATCTGAATGAGACTTCTAGATTATAGGCATCCCACAAGGCCTGTGGCATTTTTCTTACTTGATAGAATAATTTTTCCATTCCCTCTAGGGCAGTCTAGAAAGCAATTTATGAGCATGGTCAATCAAGGGGAAAAAGTAATTATTGAGAGGCTACTTTTCCCCCCCACTTAAATTAAAAACAGCAATTTTGATTTCAATTGTGGAAAACTGATATCCCTACAACAATTTTTTTAAATGCCAGATTCTCGTAAATTTTAAGTTTCTACACAATTTGTTTCCCTGCACAATGCGGCTAGGGTTAAAGAGATGAAAGAATTACTGTTCAGCTAGACTTCCTCCAGAGGCAATTAAGAGGTATTATGGTATAGCAGAAACCACCATTCCTACTGTGAAAGTTTTCATCATTCCCATCAGATATAATGCCATCAGTTAATTAGAAAACATGATTTACAATACACAAATGGTTACTGATCACACATGTGTAATCAGGATGTAATTCTATTCTTTGTTAGAATGTTGTAGCTATCTTGTTGGAATTGCTGGCTCTTCAGCTAGCATTTTTTTGTTTAGCATTTTGGCTGTTGTGAATTGCACTAACAATTATCTTGACAGTTTAAAGAATTCCTTGATTTTGATCCGCTCTTGCTTGTTAACTGGGATTTGCTCAATGATTTTTAGGTCTGTTTTAATAATTTTTTGCAATAACAAAACATACATATGTAAAAATATATCTTTCTAAAATTTCTGTGAGAGAAAAACTTTATAAATTTATTCTTACTTAAAAAAAAAAAAGTTGTGTAGGTTTCCAACAATTCCCAAACTAAATTTAGGTACAGATGAAAAAAAATATATATATATAACCCATTGCTTATTAATTTTCTAATTATATAAGTACTTTACTAAAGTTGTTATTCCAAAAAGTACATCCTCTTGTGATGAAATGCATGAAGAAACTAAAACTGCTGGTGAATGGAAACAGGATGCAGGCAGTATCTTAGCCTCTCAGAACTAACCTGAATTACCCTTTAAAATATAATAGAAACCAACAAGTTTTCAAAAGAACTAGATCCTTACAATCCTGAATTTATCCCTAAGTATACATACACAACAATATTGATGATCCAGAATTTATCCCAAAAACTATATAGCAAAGTAAAGAAATTCCAGAGAACCACATACATTATTGCTTACACAGCCACTGAAATTCTATTACCTTTTGGAGAACATCTAATGCTGTAAGTACAGCTTCCTGTAAACTTGTCAAAACTGCTTCAGTATAAGATGGAAGAATGAAAGGGGATGCATCTGAACTAATTGGGACTGAAACAGCACTGTGCAATATGACTCCCAGCTTTTGCAGGTCGTCCATGTTGAAACCAGTTTTTATGTGTTGGTAGAGAGCTGGAAATATCTGAATTAAAGCTGTAAGGAAAGGCTGGCTGGGAATGAAAGTCAGTTTATCAAAAGTAATAGGAGGCTTAGTGCTTTCAGATCCAATTCTATACCAGGCATTCCATGCAGCCCACCAGAGATTCAAATCTTCAAGCTCATCAGTAACTGTGGGTGGCTCTGAGCTACTGTATCTTCCAAGTCTTTCACCAATGGAATCTGTTCTTACAAATGGCCTGCTCAGGCTGGGGCCTGATATGGGCCCTAAAAGGACAGGCACAGATACATTAACTGCAGGTGGTGTCTCAGGCTTATCTGAGTCTCTGACAGGGGACACAATCTGTAAAATTTCCTGGAAGCTTTTCAGTGCAGCCAGAGATACTTCATTGTTCTTGCTGAGTGCTGCTGATTGTATATGGTCAAGAAGAACATCCCACGCTCTTGAAAAGTCTCCTATATTAGGAAGAAAAAAAAAAATCACCATAAAAGTGATCAAATTTTCTTTGTTAGACACTTTAAATTCTATATGCTTTATTTTACTGCTTAAATTCCTATGGAAGTAGAAAAAAACTGTTTAGATACTAATAATATGAATTAAAATCACTACAACCTGAAAATCCAGAATTTTTTTTTTCTTTCCAGATACAAGAACAAAGGCCATCAATAAGAGGACAATGGGTGTATCAATGTTTTGGTCTTAAAAACTAAACTGTATAGGGCCAGCCGAGTGGCGCGTTGGTTAAGAGCT